CATCTAGCTCATCAAAAGTTATTCGAAGATCATTCAAAAACCTCTTTGACAAGTTACAAAAACTTTTCGTTAACAATAGTGTCACACGGTACTAGGGATGGTTACTTTTTAACGAACCTTATATTTCCCTGACTCAGTCCTAAATTATAGAAGTATGCATTAATTTTCCAGCGATCCAAATAAAATCAGTGAATTAAAAGTTATACGCATATATTATGAGATATTCGGATTTGTTTCCTGCAATATCGCCGCGCGAAGCGCGGGTTGACTGCTAGTACTTGAATATTTTTCAGAAGTTGTTAAGGTTTTTCGTGTTGCATACCCACTATATTGAAGGCGCTTATTAATGTTCAGCACGTTCGAACACAACGCGCGACGCAATGTTTATTGCGCTATAAATCGCTCACATGAGAGCATTAAGACGAGTTCACTCCACAGTTTTACCCAATTCTATTATGAAATGAAATAGTGCAAACATTCCGCAGGCTATTTAAGACATTCATTTTCCTATTTCTTTTTTCCCCCCCTGGAAAGTCTGTACACTTGGCTAATAACGAAAAATAATACCAAACTTGAGTAACCTAAGTTTATTCATTGGGTAAGCCTTTTAAGGGAAAGTGGATCTGAGCTTGCTTTATGGAGTATTCCGAAGAGTATCAGGGAGCAAAGCCTAGTATTATACTTAAGGCCTCTGTCCCCGAAAAAAATTGAATAAAAATAATTGCTCCTGCTATTTTTAAGGCCCTCTCTGTTAATTTCTGAAAAATGGAGAGAGGGGGGTCGTGTCTGGCGAGTCTTACAGAATTCAAGTAAAGTTGATTTCAATTTTGTATTTCATATGTTTGTGTATGTATGTAACTATGCGTTCTCGCACGTTTTCAAACGATTTTTCACTGCTTTGCCTCGGCCGATCTACCGCGCTCAGTAGAAACGAACCGAGCAACATCAATTTGGAACCGCAAAAAAGGGGTTTGTTGTTTTATTCTTTAACTGGCTGTTTCAGCGCGCTTTGCTCGCCTCCGCACCTAGCCTCGGGAGTACGAAAAATCATAAAAAAATGTCATTTGTTCTATAGTAAAACTAGCACTATTTTGAAACCTTATATTCCTCCATCCTCTTATTTCTAAAGAAGAATTTAAACCTTGTTTATAAATCTTAAATTTACTGCACTTTCTGCCACATTAGAAAAAAAAATTAAACGTAACTCTTTGAAACTATGATTAAGAACTGGCTTATTGATTTTTCACTCTAGATGACTACTCTCCCCCCGATCACTCGCCAAGAATATATTGGAAGTTTCAGAATTTTGGTATCATGTGCACATCAACAGCTTTTTTTTGCAACAAAAATCAAGGAACTCGGCCCGGCAGTTCCTCAGAATAAAGGATCACAAGGTTTCGACCCTTAACGTTTCATTCATATAGATTAGAATGAACTTTGAATTAGAAGTTTCACTCTTTTTCCTACTCCCACAAAATTTGTTTTTTTTTCAGTTTGAATTCTGCACCAGGAGGATATGTGCAACTCCGATGATAAAGCTCAAAATCAACAAACTCTATTTAAACCGCAGTGTGATTTGGTTCCCTTCTCCTCTATTCGATTGATCTTCAGACTTATTGTTATTAGAGGCCGACGTCAAGAATTTCAGCAGATCGATCAAATAACAATATTCATTCGGCACTTTCGTCAGAGGTTATGATCGGTTCTTACGGGAACCGACGTTAATTGGATCGTATCCCAAGAATTCATCCCAGGCTACCGGCCGACAAGATGAGNGGGGGGGGGGGGGCGAAAGAGGAGGCCCGTGGGATTTCACTACTCTCTGAGTAGCTTGTTTTCGGGAGCTGAGCCCAACTGCGGGAAAAGTAAATTAATTGTCCAAACAGCATTCCACGAGCAATATTGACTTTTCGAGAGATTAATCTGACATCTTCGGGGCGAAGGCGAATAAACAAAGATTGAATTGGGAACATTTCGGCTACCCGGAAGCTACCACTTGAGAGCCTGACGGTGGGCAGGGCGGAAAATGAAAAATGAAACCAGAGTCCCGGGGGGCTAGAGTTGCGTTACGTATACGTTTTTAAAGGGAACCGCATCGACTTAGAATGATGAGATCGAGTCTCGTTCACGGAAAAACTCAAACCGTTGGCGAAACCTCTCAACAATTTCTTGTTAATTTAGTTGTAAGCTCTTCGGACTCCGCTCACAGAAATAACTTTGCCACAATGGCCACGCCATTGACGTCAACTCGGTATCCTCAACTTATTACTGCGAATCTCCCATTCGCCCTCTGTGGTTCCAAGCTGGGTATTCCCAAAAGACAAATTATTTTGAGTAGACTTGAAGGAATGATACGTAATTTAATCAGTATTTAGTACTATACTTCATCATTGTCATATCATACGAATTTTTACCCACACAATTTAAAGAAATTGCGAGGTAGAAATAACGTTACCTCAATGTAAGACGATCCACACCGAATAACAGATATAATTTTCGGTCCTCCCAGAGAAATTTAGGATTTTTTCATTTTTGACTTTAATTTTGATGAGAGCATTGATATTACAAATTTGGCACCCTTAACAAAAATGTACGAGGCTGTGAAGCCTGTTATTAAAATAACGGATATTAGATCCAGGCAGAAATACTGAAAATAGTTGGCGTCGGCAGTTGATGGCCTTAGATGTGGAGCCCCTCCGTGTTTGGCCACGTGTTCGATCCAGAAAACTGCCTTCGTCGCTGTTTGAGATGTAAATTCATGTGACATTGTTGACAGCTTCCTCATATTTTCCGCAAAACTGAAACATGATAAAAAAGTATACCTCATACCTCTTCCAATTAGAACTTGGCTTCAGATTCATGGTTGAGACAACAAAGCTGGGACAAAACGCACAATCTTCGACAAAATCCCAACGGTTAAATCGACACATTTTGTTACGTATTTATTGAAGTGGTACTTCTCTTAAGTATTCAGTGTATATTTATGTACATATTATTATTCCTGAAAAAATAATATTTTTTAAGCACTTTTTTGATGGCTTACCTTTCATCGAACAGTACTTTGTTGATAGCCTCTTTAATTTTATCTTCCGAGTGAAGTTCCTGCGGCCTGAGACGAACACCAATTCCTGCCGCCACTATTTTAGCAACGTTGGCCTCTTGGTCGATGAACCATGGTATACCAACGATTGGAACCCCATAGTGGACCGCCTCTTGGAAACTTTGAAAGCCGCCTTGCATCACGTAAACTTTAACTTTTGGGTGTGCTGAAAATAGAAGAAAGCAACATGCCTAAATCGCTCGGGTAAACGTATTCAGTAGATTAATCGAAATGAGATGATAGCAGCGGGTTGATTGCTGAAATTAATAGACAAAGCGATAGACAAAGAATACATAGGGAGTGTGGAGCGATCCTATTGGTTGAGATGGGTGGTTGTCGTAGACTAAGGGAGAAAATGATGAACTAACTATAGGGTCTTTCGTGGAGTACCATTAGTTAGTCTATTACCTCCTTCCTTTGTCTACTGCAGGCACCCGCTTCTACCAATAAGATCTCTTCATATCCTTTTTGTCTTCTTTGTCTATAGCATTGTCTATCAATTTCAACAATCAGCCCGCAGGTCCTTAACAGTCTTTTTGCCTGGAAAGCTTGCTCTGATCCGTTTACTCGAGATATAGGAACCACAGCGGGCTGTGGTAAAAAATACAAACGGCAACGATATAGTGATGATTATTATGGAAATAATTTCGCACCGCTGGATGATCATTTGAACATAATGCTAATAATGATGATGATTTCTTGCTGCGGGGATATCTCAACGTCTTACCTAGAACACTCTGCTGTGGTATCCAGGTCTGAGCAAAAATGTTGTCAGACTGCCCAGGAATTTTGCCAGGTATCTCCCATTTCCACAAAACTCTATAGCCTCTCGGTAGATCGCTGAAAACGCGTAAAAGATTCTCGCGGATATCCAGAGGCAGTGATTTACTTCGCATGTTGCTGCCGAGGCTGAAGTAAATTACACCTTTCTCCGCGCCATCCAACCAGTCCTGTAACACCTGAGAAATTGGTAATCGAATGTACATCATCAAAAGCTTGTAAAACAGTGGAAACTCATGCTACAATTATTAACAGTAAGAAAAATGTGATGATTTGATGGTACTAATTCGTTGCCTTTTTTCTGAAAGTTTCTGGAGATAATTCATAAAATGACCTGGAAGAGGGGTAATCTAACAAGCTGGACTGCATTTTCAAAGTTGGAACAACAATATTTTGCTCAGCTTAGAAACGACGTAGACATCATTAATGCGAGTTACGCCTATTCACATGAGTGTTTTTACGGATGAACTAGGAATTCCAGTTCCTGATTGCAAAATTTAGTTCAATTGATACATCATTAAAAAAATAGTTAATGCCTTTAAAGAGGAAATCAAGGGAACTCTAATTTTCAAAATATATGTAAAATTTCAGAATAAAATTTCATTAAATACACTGAAAAAAGTTCGATCGTGTAGTTCGAACGTCTGGTGTTTCATATAGACTAACTACTCGGATTGCAGGATTGTGCGTGTGGCCGAACTTCTTTTATCAGTATTTTTCATTCAAAGTGTTCGATCTAATTAATCGAATAGTTTGATCGATATGGAACACTTACGTTCGACTCATACAATTTAACTATTTCTTTTCAATGTATTATTGTCTATCTGATTTCGAAATCATGCACGATGTACAGAGATAAACAATGTTGATTTCTATGGTTCTCCAACTTATCGCAAGGACTGATTTCTAGATAAGCCCAAACCGTCTCAAAATTTCCGAATTATGACCTTTGTTCTTCATCATCGTGCAGTGGTTCTCTCACAGCGCGAAGCACCTGTCAGGGGGACGACCCAAAACCGCACAGATCGAAATACCCTACCTGAAAACCAGAGACCCTAAACCGCACACAATGCTGTATCATTAGCAATAGAGCGGAAAAGGAACGTACCTTATATTTTGACTGGTCGGCAACACTCGTATTTGTATCAGACTTTCATATATTCTGTAAAGACGTTTACATGCTGTACAGACATTTGCCCGCTGGGCAAACAGCGTGAGACGCGCATAGGCGCCTATAAACCTAAAATGATACTTGACGCATTGCGCAATGCTTGAAGTATCCCTCTAGGTTTGTAGGCGCCAGGTACAGCCTACCTGCAGCACGTTGGCAACGCCAACGTGCCGAAGGAAGCGCAGCAGCTTATACTCATCTCTCTCTTCATAGTCATCGTGATCTTCTGCAGGTTTTTCTGTAGCGTGAAGGACTGCATATTCTCTCAATAAAAAGCTCTGATTTTTTTAACAGCAGTTTTAATTATTGCTCGCCGGTTCTTCAGGAAGGAGTTAATATTCAGATCAGTGTCTACCTATATTTGAGCAGGTAACTAGAAAAACCAAAGGTTCAGAGGCGTAAAAATACTGCCGATCCTCGTCGAAAATGCGATAATGCACACATACTTGCGCAACAACTCAATTTTTCCTATCATCTTCGAACTGGCCTCGCGATCCCATGTTGTCAAATTATTGCAGTAAAAGCGTTTGTTTAATTTCGCATGTACGTTGTTACGCTGTGTGTGCGGTTTTGTCCGCCAAAAAAATGTGCTGTTTTGGGCTGTGCCATACTGTGCGGTTTTGGGCTGGATTCGCGATGGGTGTGCGGTTCTGGGCAAACCCGCCTGTCAGAAATGTAGCCGCACCGCGGCCAGTTGGAAACCTCTTCGTATATTACACTTTTTCTTACTTTTGGCAATACTTTCGGTTTTCGTATGTGTAAGGGCCCGATCTCAATAACATTCGGCGCCAGAGGGCGTGGATATGAGTGTAAAAAGTTTCCAGTGTTCAACATTAAACTGACGTTGCCCCAACAACCATCAACCACCGAAGCAAACTCCTGACCATAAGTCTCTTGGAAAAACCGCCTCGCTGACTCGTCCAGTATATCTTTCCATCTGGGGAGCAAGACCTGGGCAATAACCCAGTTGTGAATTTTTTGCCAAATGGACATTCGGTCGGTGTATGGAGTTTCGTAGGGGACGAAGGAAGGATGCGGCAGGCTGCCGGCGGCTTCTTCGTTGTAGAGGTTTTTGGCCGTCGTCGACAGGGAAATCAGAGGAGGTGTTGGTCCAGGATAGGCCAGATAGCGTGCCATCCCGCATACGAAAGGTGTGAAATACCATTGACCAATGACCACATCAAAGCGAAGTTTCTCCTTTTTTACTCTCCTGAAATGAATAAAGCCGTAATCACCGAGGAGAACCATGAAGACCGAATTCAATACACTGAAGCTTACCTTATGAGTAGAGGGTACTTGTGTTTTCTTCGATGTAATTACTGTAAGAGAATGTATTACAGAAGGGGTGTTATCAGATAATTTGAACATGCATAAAGTGGATGTCAAAAAATTTCGATAAAACCGTTTAATTTTGACACTATTCTCAGATAACAGTGAAAGACAGCATTCTCATCACTGAACCCTGACCCCCTGAAACCCTGTTGCGTGAAATGCATAGACTTTGTTTTATAATACTTGGAAAAAGGCAATATTCGCATGGTTTTTACATAGTTTTCATTAGAATTTAGCCGGCAAAATGATTATATAAAACGACTATGTGTGGCTACATCTGAAATGAAGGTAGAACCACAAAAATACGCATGATAGTGGCGTTCCAAGATGTAAATTTCTACTTTATTTTTTTGGGAGAGTGTTGCTTGCTACCTTCTTATGCTTAAGACATCTGTGGAGAAGCTTCTTGTGATAGCCACAAAAGGAAAAAAAATACACGAAATTTAATGCAAAAAAATAATCAATTGGACCGCGTTTAACAGAAAGGAACCAAGCCACATCAGCTATTGTCAAATTTAACGCGGCAGTTTAATTTTTTTACAAGAGAACGTTTTGGTGGATTCCTTTGAAAATTTTAGGGAATTTGCTTCGTACTATGCAGAAAATCCTCTGAAATTTGCACCAAAATCCGCACAACCGTCCTCATGTAAAAAATTAAATTGCCCAATTAAATTTGGCAATAGCTGATGTGGCTTGGTTCCTTTCTGTTTAACGCGGTCCAATTATCATCTGATGAGATAAAAATGCTAAAGATTTCCCATGACATGGCATGTCACTTTGTAGCGTAGTATCACTATTGGGCAACAATAAACTTTTCAGGTATATGAAGTTATCATAATGAGGCTAAAATTATAGTGATCATTGCTTCGCTCATCAAATGAAGGCGTGAGAACGGATCTGCCAAGATACCGAAAGTGTGAATTCATAGATGATTTACCTCAGGAAGTGCAGAAAGTGTTCGCTTCTGAATTGACGAGGAGGAATTTCGGCCACTGCGTTAACCACATCGGTAAATTCCCACAAAGTCATTTGTTTTTGCACATTAGCAGCATCTTTACTGGCCTTGGCATCAACACCGCCCTCTTGGAACTTGTACGAGAAGGATAGATCCACATACGTGTAGTTGTTCCCTAAATCCTAGATCATGGAAAAAATAAATCCGTAAATTCAATCGGAGCGGCTGAGTCAACGAGCTCTGTCTCTTAAAATCCTCCATAAAGTTTTAGAAAAAAATGTAGTTGTCTTTACTTCATCAAGCCGTTTCGAAAATGACAGTTTTAGGCTGCTTTTCACGAGCGTTTTTTCAAAAATAAATTAATAACATGGTATAGTCATGTCATTTACATTTTTTTAAATACTCGTACTTGATTCCCATTTGTTATCATAGTAAATACCTATGGTATCAAAACTATTACTCGATCGCCTGCTGTTTGGGTGCTTATTTCAAAAATAAAACTTACCGGCACCTCATTTAAGGCGACGGCGAAAACGCTATGTCCTTTTTTGACCAAAATCTCGGCTAGTCCCAATGCAGGCTGCTGCTGGCTGAAAGTGGGTCCTGGCTGGATGATCAATATGTTGTATGCATCTGTCGTGCAGCCGATCATCAGAGTAACAAGGAACAATTTCATATCCATTCTTCAACTTGCGCTGTAAGTGATAAAAAATTAAACGTATTAAACGGCAACATTGTTTTATTTCTTTCTTTTAACATTTTCACACATTTTAACAGTTTCACAATTTCACACGCTCAAACCGATTTTATTAACTTTTGGAAGCACTTCCTTAGTCCGAAATAATTGTCCTCGAAATTCAAATGCATTTAACCAGAAAAATTAAGTCAAAATCACATTTTTTCTTTCATGCCGAATCAATTTTTTAAAGAACCAACAACAACAACGACATCTCGTTCTTACAAGCTGAATAATTTTATTTTCTGGTTTCAAAATTTCGCTTTTCTTTAAAGTAAACTCATTCAAACTGGGAAGATCTTTAAAGAAATACACACCGCAAAAAAAAAGAAAAAAAAGAAGAAGAAAAAATAAATAAAATACCGGGAAAAACTTGTCCGCATATTTCAAACTTACCGTTTGGCGTACCTTGAGGCACGAATTGGTCATCAGCAAAATATTGCCCACTCTCTCTCTCTACTAAAAAACACCCGTTTTTCAGTTCAAAAATTAACTAACACAGAATTGTTTAGATAGAAACAACGGAGATTCTTTCTTTAAGTGCAGCATCACACGCAAAAACACTCGAATCTCACATATTGCCACTACAAATGACTGGTCTGTTGACTTTGGTGCATTTATCGGACCTGATATTTTTATCAATTGTCAATGCTCTTTGCATATTGACTGTGACGTAAGTTTTTCTCGGACATCTATTATGGCTCTTTGCACATTTACAAAGGATCATCAGACACGTTTAAAAATTAAGCATCACAGCACATGTTTTCTTATCAGAACCTCACGACAATCACAATGGGCCTGTTGCAAACTTTTGCTAGAGCAAAACTAAGAGTTGTTTTTTATAGATAATGCCTCAAAAATCACGATGAGCGCATTGGCAAACTCTGAAATGCATTCATAACTTCACAATCTGCGTAAGAAATTTGCGGTTTTTTGAGCTTCCCGCTTCAAAAACGATACTACGGCACAGGTGAACATTTTGTAAGAGGAGTCGTTCCATCGTCGGCAATAATCATCATAGCCGACGCCAATCTGCCAAAACACGTTTGATGGGACGAGATAACACCTGAACTGGATTAGACCAGATAACAATCGGTGTGTTAACGTTCATATTTTCCACGCCCGAATTGATTGACCTTGAACTCTCCTTGAATTACGCACGGAACTGCGTGCAAGCGTCGATCATGATGAATATCGCCGACGATGGAACGACTCCTCTAACAAAATGTTCACCTATGCCGTAGTATCGTTTTTGAAGCGGGAAGCTTAAAAAAACGCAAATTTCTTACGCAGATTGTGAAGTTATGAGTGCATTTCAGACTTTGCCGATGCGCTCATCGTGATTTTTGAGGCATTATCTACAAGAAACAACTCTTATTTTTGCTCTAGCAAAAGTTTGCAACAGGCCCATTTATGCGTGAAAAAAAATTGAGCTTTAAAGTATTTTTGTCTGTTACGCCCAACCTGCAACACGTAGAGAATTCATGTATAGCAATGGTAACAAGAGGGAAATTTACAACACTGTAGTGCAAAGTATTGTAACGTATGGTTGTAAAGTTTGGCAGCTAGAAAAATGAACACAAGATATGCTTTACGAGCAACAGAGATTGTGGGGGAGATCGGCAGGAATTTCTAGAGAGGATCTTTGTGATGAAACTGCACTAGATCATGGAAGTCCGAAAAACAGCTTCAAATGACGGAAGAAAATTAGCTGAAAAGGATACTTGATTCGGTTCCTCCTGGGAGGAAACAAAAAAGGCGCTGAATTAAAGGGTGCCAACAGCGGTATTCAAAATAAATAAGGGAGTGCCAACTTCCTGAAGGGCTGAAGGAAGACAAGTTATCAGACGGTGGCGGTTAGGTGTCGCAGAATACTGTAAAATCAGCCCTACATGTTCATGTGCACATGCATTTTGGTGGGTAACTGATTTCTATATCAGAACGTTCCGTTCTTACCCAGCCAGCTGTCTATTTGGCCTTCATTTTGCAAGAAGAAACTACAATATTTCTGGCTCATCCGAAAAATACTTGAGTGCGTAAGAAAAATAATGATGCATACGTTTTTATTAATCTGAGCCAGAAATTTTAATTCCTAACCGCTAAATGTAGTCTTGGACCGCGTTTAGCAGAAAGGAACCAAGCCACATCAGATTTTGCCCAAATGAACAGGGCAATTTAATTTTTATAAGAGAACGTTTGTGCGGATTCCTCAGAAAATTTTAATGAATTTACTTCGGGCTACGCAAAAAATTCCCTGAAATTTGCACAAAAATCCGCACAACCGTTTTCATGTAAAAAATCAAATTTGACAATGCTGCCGTGCTAAGAAAGAACGCCGTATAAGTCTTCAGACGCTGCCAAATTACCTTCGATATAATACGAATTTCCAAGGAACCTGTTGGTTGTTTTCCTTCAAATTTTTACGAGAATTTTACGGGCAATTTGATTTGGAGGATTTGAAAATTTTCAAGGAAAAATATTCATAACTTTCCTCAAAAATTAATGTTTTATAAGGGGAAATTTGGCAACTCCTGATGGCTCATGCGAGGTTTCTTCTCAGCGCGGCGGAATAGCTGATGAGGCTTGGTTCCTTTCTGTTTAACGCGGTCCATTCAGCGCTGACGAGAATCCGAGAAGCGGCAACCGCGCGACGAAGCGGTGTCCCTGTTTATTCAGATCCCGTCGTTAGTTTTTCGCGCGTGAGAAACCAAGGCGGAGCGAGAGAATGCAGCGGAAAAGCAGACGACGCACGTGGATCGAGTCAATAGGAGAGGTCGGACAGAATTTGGAAACTCTAAACGCTTATAACTCCATTTATACAAAACTTTGAGGTTTTAAAAGTGGTGTTATTGGTTCTCTCGTGAAATTTTCTTCAAAAAGCACCCCTCAAAGTTTAAAATGCGACGAAATAAACATCACAAATTGCAGGTCCGACCTCTCTAATTGATTCGATCCACTGTGCGACGCGATGCAAGGGAGGGTGGCGATGACAAGGAGCCCCTGCAAACTGCCGAGTATGCAACCGCGATGGCAGGACGGCCCGGTGGCGGCGACGGCCTCGGGCGAGCGAGCATTCAGTCGCTTTCCTGCCCCCGTCGAGCGTGCATCCCGCTTTTTCGCGTCACCCGGCCCATTCGCGATGTTTTCTCAACCGCGACCGGCCCCAGAAACATGATCTACTCCCAGTATCCGCGATCTCGTTATCCGCGGAAATCCTATTTTTTGCCTTGATACGGAGATCTAGACATACAGACATACGCGAGTGTAGCATTTCGTAGTTCTTTTTGCTCCCCTTCTAAAATTAGCCTCAGAACATTTAGAAACATGATCTCCCAGTATCCGCGCTCTCATTATCCGCGGATCTGTCATTTATTGCCTTGATACGGAGCTCCAGACATCCGCGAGTCTGGAATCTCATGGTTCACTTTGCTCCCCTTCTAAAATTAGCCTCAAATAATTTTATTTATGCGCGACTGTTATCATTTGCAGCCCGCTGGACCTTTAATAATTTTTTTATGTTAAAGAAGTAAGTCATCAAGAAATTTAGTCGGACAAGGGTTTATTTTTCGTTTCGTTTCGTTTTCATCAGTACTGCGCAACGGTTTATGTTTCCGTGCTTTGATTCTTATTCGCGGTTTTTTTCTTACCCACGCTACCTGAACTTTCGGTCATCGATAAAAAACTGAGCGTGATTCTTTAGCTTTCTCAGATTTATTTTTAAACTTTACCCTCTTTTAATCGATAGAGTCAAAACGTTTTATTTTTGAGTGGATATGTTTTGATGAACTTTTTGTTTTTGGACGGTTATCCCTCTGAAATTTCGAAACCTTTTAACATTGGAGCTTTTTCAAGTTTGATAAATAAATTCAATGATTAATGTTATTTTTAGCGAGAATTATACGTTATTAAGGTGTGATTAGAGACAGTGCACCAGCTTGTAAGACCTGCCATTGTAAGTAATCTCTTTAAATGATTATTGTTTGTTTTCTGCTATTTAAGTTTTTTACTCTCCAAAAAAAGAAGAAAATTGCCTTGTTCTTGTACTTGGCGTGCCTGGACGGATTAACAAAGGCTCAAATGGTGTGTCCAGAATTTGACGGAAGTCCTCCAAGAATGGGCGATAATTTGCGCTTCTATGACATCATTGATAGGTTTTTCTATTACTTTACCAGCTGTAATTGTGCAGAGATCTTTAAAAATGGACTAAAAAATGTGGAATCCTATAAAAGCCAGTCTCACAGTCTCAAGTACTAAGATTGCAACGGCAAATAGCCAAAAATGGCACAAAAAGACCGAAAAGAATGCGTCCTGACTACGTCATCAAAGTGTACCTTATGACGTCAACGGGTTTTGCAATGACGCCACTACTTGAGAACGCCCCAAAACATTAAAATTTAGTTGAACATGGTTACATTTTAAAACGATGTTTTTCTCTTGTGCCTTTTTCCCGTCGTTGGGCAATCATCGATCATTGAATGTTATCAAAATGATATTTAAAGGACCCGATGGAACTTTAAATCAATTCAATTTCATTTGATTTTGGAACTCTGAGTTGACCGGCATCGTTCAAAGTGCAGCATCGAATTTTTATTAAATACTTTTCTATGTACACTTCATTTTTCTCCTTATCTATGGTTTCGATCAAATCCAGGTTTTGTCTACTAATCACATCTACTAACCAATATAACCTTTTTTTTCTTTTTTTCGCTTAAAAGTGTTTTCTTGGCCAATAAACGAATAAATACATGGATATTTTGTTCAGTTTTATCAGACTAAAACGAACCTTTAAAATAGTATTGCAACGCCTCCCATGCACTCTCTTACGGGTGGAATATTGATTGAGAAGCAAGTCAACCGAGCACTATACGGAAGACTCCGATGGTTAAGCATGAGAAGGTATGTCTGAACTTGAGAGAAAAAAAATAAGGGATCAACTTGATCTCCTCTTTCATCCCCTCGGAAATGAGGAAAATATAAGAGAGGAGATAATGAAGGTAATAATACTCATTCACTTACCCTTCAATGATTTTTATTTCGTCGGCGTGGAGTTTCAAATTTATTCACTCTTTCCCGGTTCAACGCTCCAGAAAGTTGTAAAAAACAAGCAGGGCAAGAGAGATAATTCACCCGAACTCTAAACAACAAGGGGGCGTTGACACATCCTTCCATACGGGAAATATCGCTCATGTCAATGGCTCTCCACGCATCAAGCTTCCTGCCCAGCTTTTTTCCTACCTTTTTCCCGCTATTTTAAAATTTAAAAAAATAGATTTGCGAAAACTACAAAACCATACATCGATAAGAAAACTTATTCGGGAAAAACTTTTCCTGTGATAAAGGCCGTATCAAATTTCATTGTGTTTTGAATAATATAATCAATGATGCTCACGAGTGCGATAAAGCTCAAAACTTTGACTGGATGTGCGGCGTTTCAAATTTCATGCAACAATGTTTTTATAAAGTAGGACCAAATCAATTTTTATTCCATGAAATATTTCCTGATTTTTTTTCGCTGTATGAAAACGATAGAAACATCTTGTGCATAAGCACTCATCAGAAAGAAATTCAGGAAAATCAATTGAAAAAATAAAAAAAAAATAGTTAATAGTTAAAGTAAGAGCGGAACTGATTCAGGGTTTATTTCAATCAACGTGAGCGCAACGCGCAACTATTGTACCTTCAAGAAACGCGAGGAAAAGGCAACATTCAATATTCTGACAATCCTGGCATTGTGATGAACGTAAGGGAATGCGCCGCTGCAGATTTTATGCAATCCTATTATATTTTTTCAAGGAAACACTACTGAACAGTAATTTTTGGAATATCGTCGGATTTTTTTCATCTCTTTTTGTGGATTTTACCATCGTAAGTGAGATCATTAAGACGGGCGGAACTAGAGATGAAAACTGATAAAGACTGGAATATCGCGTTATTTCCTCTGAATTCGTAAAAAAGGCGCTTACATTAAATAAAAAATGATTAGTTCAACACAGGAACACTGCAGCGCAGGTAGTGTTATCCTAGACTCATCAGTAATATGTCAGAGAATATGTTGAGTTTTCGATTGCAACAGAAAAAGAAATCAAAATGACATTTCCTAACAAGTAAACGCTGAGTTAGTATTATAATGAGTGACGAATGACGATTGTTAGGGCTACAACGCCCTCCGAAATCCACCGAGAACATGGCGTCCTACATTTGCACTATGAAAGTAGGTATACGTAAACAACATTTCTGAAAGTAGCATTGACCTTGCATGCTTGAAGACATTATTGCGCGAGAAAGGAACGAATTCTTATCTCATTAATTGATTTTTGATTGCAATATGTGCTGCCTTAGCGTAGATGATAAACAGTGGCGTGGCGTGCTTTGCGATCCATCGATATTTCCCCGCTTGATGCTGTGGTAAATAATCGATTATTAAGGTGTTCCCCGCGAACACCCTGTTTATCGATACTTTTCCATAGGTTTAAATGGCAGATTAATCGATATATCGCAAAGCACGCCACGCCACTGATTATAAAGCGGCGCCTGAGTGTAACTATTGCAGCTCCACAAACGTCCGTTTTACATATCGACGGCGAAACTACCAAACCAGGTATCTCGTTTGCGGTGTTTAAAAATCTCCGCTCACATTTTATTTTTTTGAAGTAGACCAAATCAATATCATTCCTTGAAATTTGCACAGAATTTTCTCCGCACGAAGAGGAAAAATCACGGAAATTTTCAAGACTGGACGTTAAGTAGTTTTTCATTTAAAAAATAAAGTATGACAGGAAGTCTGCGACGTCGCAAACCGAGATACGTGGTTTGGTAGTTTCACCGTCGATATTCTCAAAATTGTAGGCGCACTGAATTCTCTTATATCCCAAAAAATAACGCGACTTGCAGGATGAGTCTTTTTCCCTTGTCACATGGAAAATAAAGTGCTATACGCAGAAAATTGTTTTAGCTAACAAGAAAAAGGTATAATGACACCAATAAAAACATTTTATCCCCCCCCCCCCAAATAATTTTTTTTGGCACAGCAAGTTTTTATCTCTCTCCCCCCTCACATTCCCATGCTCCTCTCTCAACACAGTGAGAAATAGCCAAAAACTTTTGGGAGGGGGTTGAAATTTAACAACATTTATTTCGATGCATGTACGACTTTTTGCAAAATATTTTTGATTTTCCTCCTCAAACTCTGCTCCTAAATATCGCCGACCATAGAAATCTCAATGTAACTTAAGACTTAAAACCCCGATGTGATCGATATTCTCCCTTTGCTTTTCTTTCAGGGGCGACTGACTTTCGCACGAATTCAGGAGCTTACATCGATTCGTGTTTCTGAGAAGAGAAACCCTTGCTTCCAAAGAATCAACAGGTTAGTGGGTTTTGCGTTTGAACACGGTCGATCGTGGGTTTTCGGGCGCGCGCTTTCTTTGTCACAAACTTCCTGTCATGCGTTGTTTTCAAACAGAAAAGAAAAGTCAACGAGATTTCCTGAAAATTCCATGGGTAATACTTTTTCTTGGAATATGTCGTGAAAATCTTATGAAACTGAGTCACTTACTCTTCTTTTAAAGAAACAAACTAATGGTACGGAGCTTTGGAATCGCTATCGACGCGGTTTGTGACGTTTGGCGAAGATGTTCTCTGTTATAAAAATGTGCCCACTGTTTAAATTAAATTATTTTTAAAAGTTCTCCGTATCTTTTTCTGTTCTTTTCAAGTCCATTTTAAAACAAGAAAACGACAATATTGACTATTGTTTAGAATTCATTGAAACTCTTCATTGTCTTATGAGAGACGTCTACCTAATATTTCAGATGATTTTTTTTTAGCTTCGCACAGAAAAATCCTAAAATGAATAATGTTCGGAACATTTGAAATCCAGTAACCAAGTGATGCATTTATACACCAGAAACATCTTTTTTTTTACCAAAATTTTAAATTTTTTTACGGAACTAGGGACACAAAATTTAACGTGCTCTCCTAAACGCGACGTAAGTCATAGTTGAAAATTAGAACATGCCAAGGCGTCTACTATACACGACACAAACAATTACCTGCCTTTGTGACTAGTCGTCACTCGTTTGTCTCAGCTTTAAGGCTTAGATTACTGATGTTTAAAGCTCAAAATTGACGGATCAAAATCCAACATTTAAAAATTCGAGTTTTCACATAATTTATTTTAAAACTAGTTATGGTTCAATTCGCGAATATCTCAATTGTTTTCCCAAATCTTTACATACGCCATGGTCTCCGAGCTCCTCAATTCTGAGTTTCTACCGAGTACCTCCGGTTTCCCATGGACAATTTTACAATGGAGCTATTGCATGTACCAGAAATTTGCGACTCAAGTACCAAGTCCTGCAAACAATTTTACGAGAAACCCGATGGTGTTACTGGTTTTCTTTGAAATCAACTCCAAAGCTCAAAATAAGCACCGAAAGTTGAGGCCGTAATGGAGGGGATATCCCAAGCTACCCTAAGAGTCCACATCTATACTAAAACAAACTCTCCAATAAGCAAAGATAGGGAGAAAATACATTAAAATGGTTGCCACTTTATTTGGGGGCTCCGAACTGTAAAGTAAACACGGCAATCCTGCCAATGTATTTTTCCCCTATCTTTGCATGGAGAATTTGACTAGACATAGACGTGGAAATTCAGGGTGACGTGGGGTGATCCCTCCATTTTGGCCTCAACTTGAGAGCTTCTTTTGAGCTTGGGAGTTGATTTCAGAGAAAACCAGTGGCACCATCGTGTTTCTCGCGAAATTTTACATAAGAATCAATAGTCCAATCGCAAATTCCTCACATCTCCATTCCGATGTCTTCTCGCACGTAATCTTCCATAACGTAGTTTTGAATTTGCCGGAGCATACTTTCGAAAGGAGCGGCGGCAGTTGCTTGTAATGCCCTCAATTTATGACGGGGCTGCCATACGACCTCAACTTCGTGAGATTTTTTTGAGTTTTGGGGTTGATTTCAGAAAAAACCAGTAACACCATCGGGTTTCTCGAAGAATTTTACACGGGAAACAGTACTTCCATCACATATGATACGTATGACACATGACGTAACATTTTTTTCGACATATGATACATGCAGGAGCTCCGTTGAAGTAGCCTCGTAGTGTTAAAAAAACGATAATCATAAAACTGTGCGAATTATAATCTCTTTGTTAAAATCGGGCCAGCGAATAATTTTCCCCCAGGTAAAATCGAACTTTGACAATTAGGCCGCATCGAATGCCCACGGTCTGCGAGGCGGATGACAAAACAAAATGAAAAACGGGGGAAGAACAGGAGGCCGACACGGCCGGTGACAGCTCCGCCGAAACGGGTGACGTGATGAAATCAAAGCGAGGGGGCAGGAGGCGCGGGAGGGGCACTGTCGAACGTCACTTTGTGACGTCAGTCTGTGTCACAGCGTGTTATTGGATGATAAATTGCGACGTGACGCGACACGTCGGTGCACTCGAGTCTGCGAACTCGTTTCAGGGATGACACATTATCTCGTGAGCCTCGCGATGCACTCGTGATCCGCCTCGTTCCGGCTCCTCCGACCGTCGCACAATGGATCGAGTTTATAGGAGAAGTCGGACAACATTTGGAAACTTTAAATGCCTATAACTCCGTTTATACAAAACTTTAAGGTTCCAAAAGTGGTTCCATTGGTTTTCGCGTGAAATTTTCTTCTAGAAGCACCTCTTGAAATTTAAAATGTGACTATGTAAACACCGAAATTCTCAGTTTTAGTCAAAAATTTCATGTCCGACCCCTCTAATTGACTCGATCCACTGCGGGCCGATTATTGAAACTAATAGACAAAGCGATAGACAAAGAATACATAGGGAGTATGAAGCGATCCTATTGGTTGACATGGTTGGTTCTTATAGACTAAGGGAGAAAATGATGGACTAACTGTCGGGTCTTTGGTGGGTTGCCGTTAGTTAGTCCATTACCTACCTCCTATGTCCATTGCCACCACCCGCTTCCACCAATAGGATCCCTGCAAATCCCTTTTTTCGTCTTTGTCCATAGCTTTGTCTATCAGTTTCAATAATCGGCCTGCTGTGCGGCGTGTCGACACCTAACTATCCAATTTGTCCCACCCCGAGCTCGGAGCGGCTCGGCTGAAAGCATGCCGGGCTCCTCACTCACACGTCACAAAAACAAACAGGGACATTCGCAGCGAATCCATTCACGCCAGCGTCAAGCGTATTCAAAAATCAGCGGCCTCCCTCTCCCCATCAGTTATGACCTTATTTGACCCTTCAAAATCTGGCGGAAACTCCGACCCCGCCCCTCCCACATGTCAGATAAACAAATTAAATTTTACCGCAAGTGAGTAATGAAATTTGAGAATTTGTTTTACCGTAATTGACTTGTGGGAATTCCCCCCCCCCCCCCNTAAGTTTCTAAACAAATCGAATATGGTTTTTTACATTAGCAAACACTAGTTGGATTACATTTTGCAATAAGGAACCACTCCTCCGTAAAAGCACCTTTCTGCGTAGGGAAACCAATGACACTTATGTTGTTTCTAAAAATAGCCAGAAATAGTGGTTCCTTTTTGCAAAATGTGGTCCAATTGGTAAACTTATTTGTTTAGAGAGAGTAATGAATCACTGGAGCAGGCACGATTTCAAGCATAAATATACTATAAGCTCTCGTCCGACTTTTTCTGACGCAATTCGTTCTACCGCTCCAATCGCCCGGTTTTCACTGTTTTTTACTGACCGGCGATGGTTAGCAGATTCGAGCCAGCTCTATTCAGATTTTTAAAGTATGGCTCAGTTTACTCTGTTTTAGAGGATGAGGTTTTGAATTTTCTCATTTCAAAAATGTAAACGCTCATTTTTTTTGTTACGGTTCGTTTTAAAGATCTACGGGACCAATTCAGGTTGGGCCGATTTTGGATTTTTAGGCGCCAACTTCCAGTGAAATTGTCCGTACTTTTCAATTCGGATGCAATTGAATCACAATTTGGTCGAGAACCCCGAATCTTAGAACCATAACCCCCCCCCCCCCCCCCCGAGGGGACTGGGGAGGGTATTCGAGTCCATGGAATTTGGATCCCTTGGGTTCTATTACTTCCTCATTCCCGCGGTCCCCAACCTCTTACGACCTAAAATAACCGAGAAAAAAGCGCCTTGGCATGGGTAGTTTTTAACACCCTGTATATTCACTTTATCTTCACCGCACATAAGAAAACCTTGCTCATTACTTTATGGGTCATGCGCCACCTCAATACATTTACTGTTACGATTCGTTCGTAATCTAATGAATGCCCATCGAAGATGTAAGTGGTTGCGCAGTTTACAAATCATACTGTTCACGATTTGCATTGTGCGCTCAACCAGAGAGGTCCCCGTCAATTTGAAAATTGGCGCGTCAATTTGTATATTTTTTCGAGCGCGGCACTTAATTGGCGGGAACCAATAGGAGTAAAGCATCGATTTGTTTACATTTGCGTTATTTTGATAACCAAGTTGTAAACAAACGTGGTTCGTGGCTCTTCATGTTTTCTTGAGTGTTCTGAGAAAGTCCTTTGAATATTTAAAGTTGCTCGATGTTCTTGATTTTGTGTATAGGTGCGAAGTAGTTGTTATTTGCCTATCTTAACCACATTCCTTCTAAGAATATTCTATTCTGTGTTCCCCTGTACAATGTCCAATCAGTTGAAGATTCAAGATGGGCTCTCAATGTGTCTGTAAGTTCTAACTATTAGTTTATTTTTTCCTCCTCGCATTTTCACCAGCACTGTACTGTTCTAAATTATTGAGGCTCTCAAATTCCTGGAAGTTTCTAACCTTCCATTTTGGTTCGTTTATCAATTTATTGCTTCTTATTCACCTGTTGTGTTGCAGTCCACCTACTCCAAACGCCCTCTAATGTCAGCGTCTTACTAGTTTATTTATACTGTGAGTTAACTTAAGAAGGGTTTTTATAGCTGAGAGATAAAATACTTATTGCCTAGATGTAAGATTATAGAAGATCTCAGTCAAATTCTAAGTCTGATACAAGTTTTGAGTAGGTAGGTTAGCGTCTATCAGGGGCCATGCAAAGTGTGATTATCCTACGATGAACATGCCTTTATAATGGTTGATTTTACGCCTCAGCTGGTGCAGATTAATATATCCTCAAGGATTGATAATAAGATGGCTAAAGTGTCCAAAGCCTTGTCCAAGGCTCTGATTGTTATAGGAAGAGATCAAAAGAGTGTTGTTACTTCAAGTATGACCTAAGTAAATTTGAATGTGCGCAAAGGGAAAATGTGTCCACTCATGCACACAATAGACCACTAGATGTTACTATGATAGTCTTTGGAGTATGGAAGTATGACAACCTTAAAATTAGCCTTTCGGCTCTGC